TACTTTAATTTTCTTTTCTTTTTTTAAACTGTACTTGGTCTTTGATTTTTATATATTTCTACATGATGAACATGGATGGTATCATTAAATTGGAGACATTTTTTTCTGCCAAAGGATTGCTATTCTCTTTCTTTCTTTCTTTCTTTCTTTCTTTCTTTCTTTCTTTCTTTCTTTCTTTCTTTCTTTCTTTCGGCTATATGTGTGGTTTATTTTTGTTTTTATAAAATGTTTTGAATTTATAATATGGTTATCATTCAGACTGACATCTATTTAATTTCTCCTTCTTCCCCCTCCTCCATGTATAAGTTTAATAACTACAGAGTTTTAAGTGTAGGGGTCTAGCCTAAATGGTGTAACCTTGGTTATTTTTTTTCTCCCTCCAGTCCTGTACAAATAAATAAATGAAATGTACAATTCCACTGTACTTAACGCACGGAACGCTTGGCAAATAATTATGTCAGTGAATTTGAAACTTGTATTAAACACTTTAGACATTTGTAGAAGGGAATTCATAGAGTTTTCACTTATATACTAAAGGTTTTTTGTGCAGTTCTCATTGCAAAAATAAACATTTGTACTGAATATATGAAGTAAACTTTTTCCCTTTCATCTTTCACTCTTTAGTAGCAAGTTTTGGATAAGACTGCATTGAGTTATGGGTCCCAACATTTCCAGAGGCTTTAATCCCAGCTTCTATTCTAAAAGTGCGATGGAAGTCAAGCTGCAGAAGCTTTTTCTAACATTTCAGGTCTTGCCATACTGAGAATTAATTTAAATGAGAAACCTACCTGGCCAAATCCAAAATTCCAAACAGTAACAATAGAGTACCTGTATGAGAAAATTAGCAGATGAACGCAACAATACTACTAAATTTAAAGATAGCATCTAGTGTTTGATGCAACATGGTGTATCAATCAATTGATACACAAAATAAAATAATCCGTATCATGTGACAAAATGTAAAATGTAGCCATAAACCCTCTAAACTTTTCTATCATGCCATTTAATATGTTGGCTTTCTGGCTAAATTGAATAAAAAAGTATCTGCAATGTGCCTGAAATATCTCGGGTTCTAGTCTCAAGTGGTGAAACTTAGGCCCTGAAGCTGCAAGTCTTCCCATTCATTAAAAACTTGTGTTTTTCCTTCCTTGAAAAATAGGAAATGAGAAAGCTGCAGGGGAAATAAAGCCCATCAAAAAAATAGGTGAAAATCCCAGTTCACTTTCATCTGCACAAAATGTACTGGCATTGTATGATAACTATTGCAGTGCTTATTGGCCATCAAAATATCTTATAAGTCTGTAGGCAAAATTTGCAATTCTAGGCTCAGATTCATTTGCATTAGGAATGCCACACATTTCAAAACTAAAGTCTGGGGCCCTTCAATATGCAAAATGGAAATGCTAGGCTAATGCGTTAACAGTACATTCTATTCAAATCCAAGTCTTTCAAATGGTGAATGAGTAACAGTACAGAGAGATAAACAAACTAACAATATGACTGATATGACATTAGGAAAGTAAAATACAATGATTAATGTGATTGCATCAATTATATGTTGCAGAATTAATATGCTGCATGGCTTATATTAGCCATTGTATAAAAGCATATCATTATTGATGTAATTGGTAAGAGTGGTCAATTTAACTTAGAAAAACTTTTACCGGTGGTTCTTAACTTACAACTATTCGCTTAAGGATTGT